TTAGATTAAAGTTTTGAACGACTAGTAGATTTATACTTAAACAATTAGATTATTCGCTCTCGATATTTCTATTTACTGGGGCTGCGCCCTTGTCAAATATCACGCGTTCTAGTTCACCACTAAATTTTCTCCGATTCTTATTGGTTTAAATTGATCACGTGGTGTGATAGTGTTCGTCCGCGGAGAGACACTATCGGCCCATAGTGCCCGTCTGCGGAAAATACCCGGATGGATAATACTCGTCCGTGAAAAATTTTCTGTAAACAAGCGGGTTTGTAGAAATAAAGAACTGAAATTGTATTAAGCGGGTTTTTGTCGGTTTTCTTTTTCAGATTTTACATCTGGCTGTCACGGCTTTCATCTAAAAATGTTGAAAATAATTTAATATGATTTTTGAACTGGCGCGCAGAAGAAAATTTAGTGGTGAACAATAAAGACAATCGGAGTGTTTATGTCTCGGAACTATCGGTCTAATAGTTGCCCCTTGGAAATTTGATGTTCTTAAGACTGGCATATTTGCCCTCGAGGCTTCCCTTCTCAAGCAAATATTTGTTTTAAGAACATCAAATTTCCGCGGGGCAACTATCACCCGATAGTTCCTCGACAGAAACACTCTATTGTTTAAATCGAGAGCGAATAATCTAATTGTGTATTAGAAATCTAAGATGGCGTCATAATGCTGACCTCAAAGCAATTTATGACACTTTCGATCAAAAGTAAGTCTATCATCAAAAATGGATCGAAGGTCATCAGTCCACAATCGTGGACGTGACCTTTGAACCCGCTACGCTAAAATATTTGGCGACAGCGTTGGCGACAGCCTGAAACGTATCTGTTAGTGAGATCCAAATCGTATCCTCGATTATAGTTAATAGAGGGTATGGTTGTTAACCTGGCAAAGTTCTTTGTTGTATGCATTTGTTGGCTATTTTGGGGGTTGACCCTGCACAAAACCCGGCAAAATACAAAAGGTGGTAATTTGTGCTCATACAACTAACCAATAGAAGCGTTGCGATTACTTTGTTTATTTATTCATTTATTTATTTAGTTAGTTAGTTACTTCTTTAATTAATTAATTATTTGTTTATTGACAATATTTAGTGAGGGATGCCCAGTTCAGCAATGCTGGTTTAAATGGAGCCCTGCATAGCCTAAGCATAAAACAAAAGATGTGCAGGGTGAAGGACCTTCCAACATAAATGTTAGCCTGTTTGTTTGCTTCTTTGATGTTTACCAAGCTTCTTAACCATTCCCTCTTTTAACTATGCCTCGACATTACGTTAATTTCTAGACTTTCTAAAAGTT